CGTATCTCTTAATCAAACTCGAGGCTAGTGTGTAATTCTTCCAATCTCCGGAACTAATTTCAATTGTTATTAATTCCTATTGATTTATTGTCTTTCAAGTACATCTGAATTCATTAAACCGTTACAGATTGTTTGAATTTCCTATTGTATGAATTGCTTTAGTTATCTACGTGACAGGACCTTCTTCTATATACATGTATAAGGGTGTTCTGCACACTAGTGGATGTTCCAACATATGTCCTTGTCTAACTGTGAAAGGAAGGATGTGAGAAATCCTAGCGCCAATAGATACCAATAGGAATCTATTGGGAAATACTATGTGTTGAAAGTCATACAATAAATCTGTTATTGTATCACTTGTCTCGCTTAGTATTCCACACTTTCCGTAATTGTAAAGTGTGTAGATAATTGTAAGAATAAGTAAACAAGCACCAATAGTTGTAGTTATAATACACACAATAAACCATATATATATGTATATATATATTATAAGGAATCTGATTTCGAGAGCAAGTATCCACACGCAGCTAAATATATAGCTGGTATGAAGTATACTCTTAACTCCACTATCGCATAAATTACAACACTATGTCATACCTATCGTAATTTGTGTGCTAGACCTGGCGGTGTAGCTTATCACAGTTTGAGAGTGTATTGTGGAATGCAGTGGTTGCTCGTTACAGATGCTATTGCGACAATGCAATTGAGAGTTGTATGAATGTTTGGCACTTCTATTGGTCTCAATTGTGTGGAGGTTGATTCAATTATCGATGATAATGATTTGTAATGTCTATCTACAGAGAATGTGTTACAGTTTTATGTCTGCCTGTAATCGCCTAGATTTGGCTATTGGGCTGTCCCCTCTATAACTACGATCCCTTGTTCCATTACGTGAGATGTAATAACTGTTCACCACAAGATAAGATAAGAATGTTTATTATGGTCTTTACTGAGTCTAAGACAATGAAGGATTTTGTTCACCACAAAGTCCGCAGATTAAACAGCGTTAGATCACAACAATACCAATGAGTGATGATCTAGGTCAATCATATACCACGGAACCTGTGCACATTATTCTAATGTGAACAGTTTATTGTAATGCAGTCATATTACTCCTGTTACGGTTTGACCGTTGTTTTAGCTTAGGAGGAAACCTAAGCATTTAATTAGGAATAATTACGATAAGACTGAAAGAGGAAGGATGGGCAAATAGAGATGAAATAGCACTACTAGCCAGGAGGTCGAAGCAACATCATAGCGTAATGGCTCCTGATAATACTTGGCTCAGTAGCAAGTATTATGCCTAGGGGGAAGTTATCAGTCAACAGATTCACGAAGCGGACCAAACGTTATAAGTACCTGTTAGTATTAGCGAGAGATTTCTGTTCTCTTCATATAGTTTAATGAATCAATTTATTCATCACCAGCCCGGTTTCCATAACAACTCCTTTAATTACAACAATCTTTTCGTTTGAGCTTGACATTACCTAACTGGGGCAAGATGAAAGTTGTTCAAATCTTCATGGGTAAAGGCACATGTGAGCTATTGCATACGTATCAAAGAAGAATGGATAATGAGTAACTTCTTGAGGTCCATTGACAGCAACATTTGCTCGTTCATGGATATCGTTAAGTCCCCTGAATATCATGGCTTTCCTTTCGCGGAGTCTGACGCAAGAGTTCCATACACAATCTTTTTACTCGAACGGATGATATTTCGTAATGAAGGAATATTCACTTTGTATATAGTCTTTAGAGTGTCTAGATTTGGTAACCTTTTGTTACGGCGAGATTCCCGAAGGATAGAACTCGTCGTCTTCAAAATTGACAAGTAAGGAACGAGGTTCACGATAGAGATTGGAAACTTCTGGGGAGGTAGAATTTGATAATGAGTGTGGCAACAAGATACCTAAGAAGACTATAATCGAGAAAAAGGGAGTGATACAAATTGCGAAGCTGAATATCTGAATAGGCCATTTTTTCCGCTTCTTATAATCAGAGAATCCCTCAATACAATCTCCGGCTCGTCCATAAACTGTCTAACGCATGAAGGTATCTGGATTGGATTGTCAATCTCCTCAGATAATTAATCTGGGAAATAATATGCGGCCGATTCCTAGATCCTTAGGTCTCATTCATTTCCGAGAGCCTAAATTAATTATCTATTCAAGGATACTTTTCATTATGCATAAGATTACTACTTTCGGCCCGCCGGTCTTAGAGATGGTGTTGTAATTAATCTCTGTTGCATGTATTGGGTAGTTGGATGACTTTTTGAATCATTTAATGTGTATTCAGCTATCTAGCTATGACACATGACCGGTGCTATGTATACATGTGGGATGACTCTTTTGACGTTAGAGACACTCACACTCTGGATTTCATTCGGAAATACCACTATGAGGTATGTTCGCTTACACAAACAGTCGACCCTCCTCCGTTAGTAACCATTAAAGGGAATTTAAAAACCTTTGATTACCCAAGCATACCAGCGCCACCAGAAATGTAGTTGTGTTTTGCCGGATTTGAGCCAGCGATCTACTGTCTCGAATGGGATTTGTGTCCAAGCTATTCAGATTATACTTGGCAGACCGGCCAAGACGATGTACCACCGCACCATCCAACCATGGCAGTTTTTATAGTGTCGCCTGCACTCTCGCAGCCGAAGTCTTGGCACGCACAAAGCTCAATTTGTAAAAACTCCTTTCCAAAACTCAAAATTCCACGCCCGTGGTGACTGTATCCATCCTTTGTATCATCTTGTAAACTTGTCCTGAATCCTCTCAGGTCCATCACAAAGAACAGTCTCCCAGATTTGTGCGCTACGCTTTGCTTCCTCCGTCGGGTGTAAATATTGGCGTGGGCGTGTATTCGGTGACCGGCTGAGGCCAGAGAAAGTCGACGAGAGGTGTGACCATTGGAATGAGGATGTACTAGGTCGTACTTGTGGACTTGATGAGGCTTAGGTAGGAATCGGACTCTTTGGGAATGAAGATTTGACGTGGAGGAGTAGTTTAAATCATTGCCTCGTGGGCCAACTTGTTCGGTACTGCGAAATTTGACTGAACTTGGCTCTGAGAGAATATTTCACTCCCAGGTTCATAGAGGACACCGCGCACAGGTGTTCAGTCTTGCCTTCCAGTTGGATGAATCGTTAAGTATGTCTGCCTCAGGATAGATTATTCAGGCCATAACACCTTTGATGGTTTCGCTACTCTTGAAGTATCATTTTTGGGCTTCTTGAACTGCATAATCAGATCTGTATGAAGAGAGGATTGCATAGGTAATTCATGGTCAATGTTGAGAAGACTTTGCTTGACTTCAGTGTGTATGTGTATGTTTATTGTGCTACTTGAGTCTATGACTATCTAGCATATTGGCTCCTCTCTGACCTAGGCCACACCTTGTGAAGTGCTCCTTTCCTCTTTTGTTACTTGAAAGATCATTGATATGTTCCCCTTGATGAATAGCCATTTAGCTCAGTGTTTACTCGTGCAATTCAGCAGCCTTTTCCTCGGAACCTTCTACCCAAAAGAAATAAAATGGTAGCAATGGAAAGTGCGTGCGCGGGAAAAAGTCTCAAAAAACCTGCAGCCCCAGTCAGGCGAGGCCTAGACACAGGGACCACATGAGGTGCGCATATTCATCCATATATCCCTTATATTTAACAGTCGAGGTCAACTTGATCCAATCCACCATCTCCGTATCGGGTGCTGAGTACGCTCCGGAAACTCATCGGATTGCTTTTCCTCCATAATCAAGGGTTGGTGATGAGCAGAGCTCCGACCCTACCATCTAATCTGATCGTAGTTGGCTTCATGATAGTGATAATAGGGGAATGTGTTGAGAGATGAAGACTATACAGACCGCGAAAGTGATTGGGAATCCTCGTCGAAGTAAGGACTTTGTTACTCAAACTCGGCTCTGCAGACTCTACAGTGAGAGCTGGAGGTTCGTAGGGGACACCACTGACAGGTGTTAAGAATAACCCCCCTCATCATAATAGGTGTATCACAGCAGTAGAACTCAACAGGAGTCATTGGTCCTCGTTACGACAATTTGGTCGCCATGTCCCATCCTCGCCGTGTAAGTGCCAACAATGTAGGCTGATGGGATCAGTCACGGAACGTCAGCAACCAGTAGAGCTATGCCATGCAAGATGGCGGAGATCATCTGTATTGATTTGACTCGATATCACTTGAAGGCAAGTAGTATCATCCTTGAGACACACAGCCGCGAGACGTGATGCTAACACAAGATCCCCGCAGAATCGTTTCAACCTACACAAAAAGTCACTCTGATAAAACCAAGTTTGAATAGGAAAGTCGAGTACGCGTCCGCCTTATAATTTCGAGGCAAGAGGACATTCTGAGGAACTGAAGATTGAAATATTGCACCATAAGGTAATGTAAATGCGAACACCTCATCACAGGCAGTGGTTTGTATTTATCATGTGACTTAAACGACTATAAAGCCTATAATTCTGATGTACAGAAGCGCAGCATATCATTCCTGCACAGTGAGATCCTTTGAATACCACTGACAGCAATCTTCTCCTACAACCGATAACATCACCTCTCCACAAAATGGACCAACTATCAGAATTATTTGAATACACTTCATTGAAACCACTCGATTCATTACTTGACAAATTCAGGGTCGAGTTCGACCCCGAAAATAAACCAATGGATGGTATGTGTATCTCGCAATGCTCTAAGTTACTAGCTGACTGTGAAGTAATTTACTTCTTTGTACATGATCTGGTAGGCTTAACCAGGAATTTACAAGATAATGCCGCCATCAGGGATCTTAAAAGTCAATTTGTTTTTTTAACGAATTACATAGAACTCAAGAGAGTTTGTCTTTCCGATTTTGGAGACCTAATCGAGTCAATAAACAACTTCGCCAGTGATCGTGTTATCTGGTCCAATGTCATCGAAGTTGCGAATCTAGTCAACAAACTCGGTCAACCAATCCGCACCAAATCAAGGACACCTCTCATGAAAAGCAAGAAGTCAGCAGTCTCAAGGATAAAGAGCGCTGCAGAACAAGAAGATTACGGCAAAACTACTACCTCTCTGACAGTGGCTCTCAAGTCTGAACTTTCGGGAAATATTTTTAGGGGCGTCAGTAATTTCTGGGAAATATATTTCGAAAACAAACCATGGTCCGATCTTACTAGACGTATCTGGGAAAGCTATCGCGACAACGGCCAATGCGGACCCGACAACACATTTACGGCTAACATGGACGAAACAGTACTCCCCAGCTGGCTGCACGCATTTCGAGATCGTTTTCTTTCGCAGCTAATGCCACAACCGAATGTTCCCGACGCTGATCACCCAGTGGTTGAGAGAATAGCCGGAGATCCCCATGTGCGCGGCAAATTTTCTCATACTACAAAGAAAAATCAACTCAATGGTGGCTTAGGCACACGGCAATTGGATTTCTTCATTGAGAGTTCTGATATTGCCGATAATCTGGAACATCAATGGAGAGATGTCAGGGTGTTGGGTGAAATAACCTCTTACAAATATATGTCAGCTATGAAGATCCATCAAATGATGAGATACGTGCGCGAGGTATTCTACTCGCAGCCGCTGCGTAGATTTGTGCATGGGTTTTGCTTGCACAAACTGTACATCGAGTTCTGGATCGTGGATCGAGCAGGAGCATACAGCTCGGCTCAAATAAAAATCCTGGACAATCAGGAAAAACTGGTCCGAGGGCTATCCTCGTACATGCTGATGAGCGACAGAGAACTCGGACTAGATCCAGTAATAAGCTACGATGATGCTGAACGATGTTTTGTCACAATACCTGACGACAATCAATCAATGGAAAAAATTGAGGTACATCCCATGCCCTTATCTCGGCCGGAGACGATAGTCTCACGAGGAAATACGTGCTTTAAGACAAAAGACAACGAAAGCTTGATCAAATTTTCTTGGGGCTCTGGAGCGAAACTAAATGAAATCGAATTCCTCAAACTTGCAAAAGACTTGAATGGCGTAATCCAGCTGAAGACTTCTGGGGAACTTTATGAGGTTGAGACACACCGAGAGGGTGTTCAGCTATCGGAGAATCTAAGGTGGTATCTAGATATCTATGATCGAACTATGTCCCACGGCAACAGGACGAAATCTCAGAGTGAGGAATTTTTCACGAAACGGAAACTCACATTTGCCAAACTGTCACCAGTTGGACGTCCCCTTGAATCTTCTCTAACGGTGCGAGAGTTTGTACGTGGCATACGTGATGCCATTGTGGGACATCGTAACCTGCATGAAATTGGTATTGTTCACGGCGATATTTCTGCAGGAAACATCATTCTGACTCGGCCGGATGAAAAGGGGATAACAAAGGGAACGCTTATTGATTTAGATATGGCCTCATTCCGTATAGATGAAAATGAGAAGGACCAGCCGAAAGCAATCACTGGTACGACAAGATATATGGCCTTGGAACTTTTACGAGTCATCAGCCTGAGGAAGCTAAGCTTAAAGCAAACATATCGGCATGACCTCGAATCATTTTTCTACGTTCTCATAGTAGGATGCATGAGTTACGGTCTCGAAAAGTTGCCCGAACTACTGAAGACATGGTCTTCAGACTCCCATACTTGTTTTCTCTCGAAGGAAGCCGCTATCACCAAAAACTTTGAGACAATGATTATAGATGGATTCCTACCGAGTTTTGAAAGTACTAAGGAACTGGCAAGGACACTTCATGAAATACTGTTTGGTGATGAACAAGTGGAATACGGTTCACCGGAAGATCCTAACGTGCTTTATGATCCTATAATTGAAGCCTTCAAAAAGACTTTAGAGAAGCTTGAAGGTAAGTAATATTTTTGATATCACAGAATTAACTCTCCACTCTTCATTCAAATTGCTGACTAAATCCATCATTGGAACAGCATACGTCCAAGATAAGAAAGAGAACGATTTTATACGACAAGATCAGGGCGCTGGATTAAAAGGTAAGAGAAAAGTACAACAGCTTTCAGAAGCGTAGGATTAAAGATATGCCGTTTACAAAAATGTATATTTATTCTCTCAAAAAATTGTAGTAAAGCCTTCATCAAATTGAGTAGGACTGCAATATATTACTTAATGATACTACTCTCGAGAACCATTATAGTCAAAGTGAATTGCGAACAGTTCGCGTAATGCAACATTATATCTCTAACTATTGATAGCTATGAATGACTATCGGAGAAGTTGGACAGTGTTACGGCGGGTGAAAGATAGAGTGGAGGTCGCCGTCTGCTGTGAGTCTTCCAGTAATAACTAGGCGAGTAACTAAGAGAAGATATAAATGAGAAAAAATCTGGTGGATTGACTTAGTTGGCGTGATGCAAAGAGGTTGGGACCGAGGTCAAGAGGTCAAGACAAGCAGGAAGATATTTTGAGAATATTGGACTAAGGAGATTTAAGATTGAGAAGCTGAAGAACTACTTTAGGGAAAATTCAGCATCCTTAAGTACAACTATCTATGTGCTATATTAAAGTGAGGCTTTGGAAGAGTATGTCATGGCGAGCCCATCCAACTCTGGTCGTCAGAGGTTTCCCGGATATTTTCTCATGGAACCTTCTTCGAAGATGTCCGGACACAACAGACAGGCTTGTATCTTTGGTCAAAAACAGGGATTGTCCACATGTATGTGGTTTATTTGCTCCGATCCGTGCTCGTATTCTTTATTTAGAACCTTAAGTTATCCATTCCTACTGCAAGTTTCTGTTCGGAGTTCAAGAGATCATTTCAATCATGACCAGTCCATATGGCCCTAGAATTCCGGGAGAAACAGAAATATAGCTTTGTTTTACAGTTCTCTTTTTCTTCAATCACATATACCCTTTAACTGTCATAGGTCAGGCTCCCAGATACCTCATAGTAACTCACCTGCCCAGAAATGACTCGGCATATTGTGGCTCGATACACTGAAGAAACGTGTATTTCAGCTACCTTTTTTGTATGAAAGGTAGTTGTTAAATGAAGCCAGCAGTATGTATAATTGAAATTAAGACATACCAGACCGAACTGCACGCAGTGCGGAGTAGACGAAGACCGCTTATCTTCGGTCGCTACCAGCTTTGGTGACGTCTCGGTGGTGGGAATGTTATTCCATCATGTAATCAGAACACAATATTCCTACCTATGCGAGGCAGAACATAGATAATTAAATGTAGATTAAATCCTAATATCTTTAGCCAAAATACAAGTTTAGTAAAACCCAAAAACCTCACTGATCCTCAAATCGCCAGTATCTTACGTTTCATTTAGTAATGAATTGAAGGACAATATTCACTTCTATAATTCCAGGTACCTCCAGAACTGTAATATTTATGACCTCTTCAATGGAATGATAATGGTTTAAATCAGTGTAGGAGGAGTGGAATTTGTCATTATCACGCTTTAATCTACTACACAACTCTACTTTGTAGAGCCATCATAGCTCGAATATTATACTTTTATACTTTTGGGTTTCCAAAGTGCTAAAAAATGAGCATCCGGGGGTACTATTCTCAACAACTATCAGTGATCATCTCTCCTGTTGAAATATAATATTTCTTGGAAGACTGAGAATAAAATATTTGTAGGTCAATTTATTAAGATGGGCAAATCCTCCATCCTTTGTTATAGATGTCATTACATTCGGCGCTGAAAGTTAAATGTGTAGTGGAATTCACCTTACACTATCATTCCCGTGGATTACTGTGTCTCAATTGCAGGTTTTAGGAAGGTTAAACCTACCTTTCGGCCACGGGTAAAGTGGGGCGTATATTCTCTTCAGTGAATTGACCCCTGATTGTGCCTTATTCGACAAGGGAAATAATTCTTGTTCCGAATATCAAGGACCGGACTAAGGGTACAACATGATTTATCATCACTGTCAAATTGTGCAAAGCCAACCAGGTCTCAATTTCTCTTCCGTTTATTCTATATTTGCCCACCGCTGAAATATTGTGTAGCTCTTGTCATCGTATGGTTGGCTGATTTCAGGATTAGACTTCTCAAAAACATAGTTGTAAATACAGTAGATAATATGGCTCTACTCAATACTAATCTTATTTTGCAGATGAATCCACCTTAGTCCCCAACTTCAACACTTCGATTCAAACAATTGTTTAGAGATCAAACTTTTTCTGTTAGTCAAAGTATGAAATATCAACAAATTGAAGTCATCATACAAATTTTCCGATTTATGGGCTTGATGAGGCTGAAAAGTGCTAGATGCAGATTGCCGCGCAACTAGACTTTTCCTGAGGAGGGCAAGACTGAACACCTGTACGCGGTGTCCTCTACGAACCTGGGAGTGAAATATTCTCCCAGAGCCAAGTTCGGTCAAATTTCGCAATATCAAAGAGGTTGGCCCACGAGGCAAAAATCCAAATTACTCCTCCACGTCGTTTTATCGCTCCCAACGAGTTTGACTCCTATCTTCGTCTCATCAAGTCTACAAGTATGACCAAGTACATCCTCATCCCGATGACCACACCACTCTTCGACCTTCTCTGGCCTCAGTTGACCGCCAAATACACGCCCACGCCGATATTTATACCCGACGGAGGAAGCAAAGCGTGGCGCACAAATCTGGGAGACAGTTCTTTGGGATGGACGTGAGAGGGATTAGGACAAGTTTACAAGATGATGCGAAGGACGGATATAACCTCGAAGGGCATGAGATTCCGAATTTTGGCAAGGAGTTTTACGAATTGAGCTTTGTGCGCGCCACGACTTCGCTTGCGAGAGTGCAGCTGACACTTATAAAAACAAGTTAACGATGGAAGGTGTTGTGGTCCGCCTCCTGGTGGTGTTCTCCGGTATGGTTTGAGTAGCCTGGGCACCTACTCCACTTGGGAAGGAGACATCTCAGATCATATTTCGCGCGGAGAAAAGTTGAAAGATGATGGAGGCATGTCTGGATAACTCAGGGTTTTTGAGACGTTCCCCTGGGTGGGTATTCACGGATGAGGGTTGACTTGGGGTGAAGAAAAAGCCACCATAACTTCGCAGTGGTACTTGCAAATGAAATCCGAGGCATGAGTGCTCTTCCTTTACGTTGAATCATCTATTCTGTACTTTTCTTTGATATTGTGTCATAGCTAGATAGCTGCATACGCAATTAAAATCTGATGCAAAAAAAAAAAAAAAAAATAGACTTTTCCTGAGGAGGGCATGTGGATCCCGGATAGATCTACAGGGCACGAATTAGCTAGATGTAGGAAACAAGGCATACACACGTAATCGTAATTATCCTATGACCTCACGCACAGCAAATCGCACTGTCAGAGCCCGCGGTCACAGCCCGCAACCATAGCAGTAGATCTACTAGCGTTGAGGAGTAAGGAGTAATCAATGTATATAAACACATGGACATCCGACACTTGAAGGTTATAGAATACTGGTATTAGTCTCAAGCTCTACACAAGATCCGTTGTAGTTAGGAGCCACCAGACACCACGTGATATCACCCCAATCTTACACCCACACCCATTGTGTACTAAGTATTCAACGCGCGCTTGGAACCTCAGGCATGGCGGAACACCTGTATGCGGTGCTCTCTTCGGACCTGGTGTGAGTTATTTTTCTCATTTTCAAAGCAGTTGGCCCACGAGGTAATGATTCAAAATACTCTACCACATCAGTTTTTCGCTCCCAACAAGTTTGACGTCTACCTAAGTCTCATCAAGTCTACAAGTACGACCTAGTACATCCTTATCCCAATGACCACACCACTCCTAGACCTTCTCAGGCCTCAGTTGACCACCGAATACACGCCCACGCCGATATTTGCACGCGACGGAGAAAACAAAGCGTGGCGCACAAATCTGGGGGACTGTACTTTGGGATTGGCGTGAGAGGATTCAAGACAAGTTAACAAGATGATGCAAAGGATAGATACAGTCTCGAAGGGCGTGGAATTTTGAATTTTGGCAAGGAGTTTTTACAAATTGAGCTTTGTGCGTGCCAAGACTTCGGTTGCGAGAGTGCAGGCGACACTATAAACACCGCCATGGTTGAATGGTGTGGTGGTACATCGTCTTGGCCGGTCTTCCAAGTAGAGTCTGGATAGCTTGGACACATGTCCTACTCGAGACAGTAGATCGCTGGTTCAAATCTGGCAAAACACAACCACATTTCTCGCGGCGCTGGTATGCTTGGATGACGAAGGCATGCTTGTATAATCAAAGGTTTTGAAATTCCTTCTAGTGGGTACTTACGGAGGAGGGTTGAATATTTGTGTAAGCAAGCATACCTCATAGTGGTATTTGCAAATGAAATCCAGAGTATGAGTGTCTCTAACGTCAAAAGAGTCATCCAACATCTTACATAGCACCGGTCATGTGTCATAGCTCTACAGCTGAATACACATTATATGATGTAAAAAAAAAAAGTCGACTTCTACTTTTGTTCCATAAATATTGCGCCCATTTTTTAAATTCATTTAATTGTCCTGTCTGGGTCTATGACAATGTAGGACATGCAGATCCTCTCTGCCTACAGGCCAAGGATACCTTAACCAGTAGTATATCCCCTCCTATGCCTCCCATACAGCTCCCCTCAAACAGTACCACCCCTCACAAGTCCTCATTCGATCATACACTAAGAGGAGCCCTTTGCCCCCCCCTTATCTCCCCTCCCCAGCCAAAGAAACAATGGCTATTTGCGGGTGTATGACAGCCGGAAAAAATCGCAAAAACCACTAGGTACGGGACTCTCCTAATACCGACATTAGGACTAGATCCGAAGACATAGTGATCCTTCCAAAGCGTTCGAAGAGGCCTGCCAGCTGGGCGCTGCAGACTTGTGGGTACCTCGGAGAATTCACACTCTGCCTTTCTAGCCTCCTTTCAACTCCTTCCCGAAGGTCGTGCCGAAATGTCAGAAAAGTCTTGACAGAGCATGATTGCTGTATAGCAGCTTAGTCTAACTTCTGTTGTGCCGTCCAGGGCGCTGGGGAGTGACGTTGACTCATCGACAAAAGAAGCCCTCCTGGCTAATTAGCCAAAATCTTGGTGTTGGCACCCACAAAAAATCCAAACTTGAAAACTCCTCGAAAACATCAGACCCAGCATGGTCTTCAGAGATCTATTCCTCCTCTCGTTCCACATCTCAGCCGCCCGTTCTTCCTCAAGTTGTTTGTCCCATTGGAGCAACAGTCCCCCATAAGCCAAGTCCCAGATTTTGTATTATTCGACTTGATTTCCTCCTTGCAGGTATAAATAGCGTCGTAAATATGTAGCGAGAGATGGCTAGAAATTAATGGGGCAAGCTCCTGTATGCAATTGGAGCAACTTCTTACTTGGTCGTTTAGGTGAAATGATGCGTGGTTAGAGAGAGGTTGAGGACTCAGATGAGAATGGTAAGAGAGGCATTGTCGAGAAGTCGTCAAATGGAGATAAAGATGTGTTTGCTTTCGACTTCAATTCGTATGTGATTCTTCTTGGCTATCCCAGATATGCAGAGCATGCTGAGTGATTATACCGGCACCACTGGAAGGTGAAGAATTCGTCTTTGCCGGCTATTGCGCCCATTTCATTGCGCGATATTTCCAAAAATAATGACCCCTCAGTCATTGAGGCTTTTTTATTTTTTAAATCAATTAAGTGTATTAAGCTATGGAGCTATGACACATGACCGGAGCTATGTATACATATTAGATGACTCTTTTGTCAGGTAACTGGGAGCCTGACCTGTGACAGGCGAAGTGTATGTAATTAAAGTAAAAGATATCTCAGTAAAAACAACTTGATTCCTAATTCTCCCGGAATACTAGGACTATATACACTGATCATGATTGACTTGATATCTAGATCTCTAAATATAGACATGCGCTAGGAATAGAATAACCTGCAGCTCTATATACAGAATGCAAGCACTGAACGAAACAAACAACTCACGTACGTATGGACAGTCCCTATTTTTGACCCGAGATATTTCCCTATCCAACTCCTTCGGTGATTATTCTTAGACGTCGATATCTTTTGACGTTAGAGACACTAATACTCTGGATTTCATTCGCATCTACCACTACGAGTGTGAAAGGACAAATCACGATAGCTTGTTTGCACAGGTGAATCCAAAAATAAAGGTTTATATTCTGTATAACACAAGAAGTACGTGAACTACACAATTGAGTATCTGCTAAGTCTTACGTAAGTTACTCCTAGCTTAACTATCCAATGAGTTCACGTGAACAATCTTTACTAATGGAATCAGACTTATCCGATTCTAATCCTACAAGGCCCTAAGCCTGTAACTACGAGGTATGCTTACTTACACAAACAGTCGACATTCCTCTATTAGTACCAAACAAAGGGACGTTTCAAAGCCTTTGGTTATCCAAGCATGCTTTCGACATCCATGCATACGAGCTCTGCGAGAAATGTGGTTGTGTTTTGCCGGATTTGAACCAGCAATCTACTGTCTCGAGTGGGATATATGTCCAAGGTATCCCTTGAGAGACTGAACCTAATCACTCTGGCAACATCCCTACGTCCGAGCGTTACCTGGTAGACCGATGCGTTTAGACTGAGGAGCACATCACTCTGATGGCTCCCGAGGGGCAGCAGCATATAAAGTGACGATAGTGTGTAGCTCTGTAATCTCGGAAGTCCCACACTAGCAACCAGTATCAATGGTATGTTGTGTGAGGAGATATTGGCAGTAGTTATGAGAGTGGTTACTATGACAGGAGTAGGAAGTACCTACGGTGAGTGCGTGATCAGGACTGGGGGTTGAACGCGTAGATAAGGAAGCAATACTTCCGCAGCCAGCTTGAAAAGTAAACATCTTACCACTGTCAATTCCAACGCATCTTCACATTACAGCTACATCAACTATATCCGCATATCTATGATCATCTGCATCCATGTCAGCAATACCCCTGTCTACTCCTGACCTCGTCTTCATAACATAGATCCGCAACTTCAATGACATTAGACCAGATAACACGATCGCTGGCATGGCTATTTATTGATTCAATAACGTCTCCAAAATCGGAAACACAGACTCTCTGGAGTGCTATGTAGTGCATTAAAAAGACAAGCTTATTTTGAAGTTTCACGATGGCAGCATTATTTTGTAAATTCCTAGTGTAAACTCTTAGATCAAGTATCAAGTTGTTAATTGCTTGAAAGTCAGCTAGTAATTTGGAGCATTGCGAGATACATTTACCATCCATTGGGTTATTTTCGGGGTCAAACTCGACCCTAAATTGGGCAAGTAAAGAATCTAGTGGTTTTAAAGAGGTGTTTTCATATAATTCTGATAGTTGGTCCATTTTGTGGAGAGTTGAGGTTATCGGTTGTAGGAGAAGATTGCTGTCAGTGGTATTCAAAGGATCTCACTGTGCAGGAATGATATGCTGCGCTTCTGTACATCAGAATTATAGGCTTTATAGTCGTTTAAGTCACATGATAAATACAAACCACTGCCTGTGATGAGGTGTTCGCATTTACATTACCTTATGGTGCAATATTTCAATCTTCAGTTCCTCAGAATGTCCTCTTGCCTCGAAATTATAAGGCGGACGCGTACTCGACTTTCCTATTCAAACTTGGTTTTATCAGAGTGACTTTTTGTGTAGGTTGAAACGATTCTGCGGGGATCTTGTGTTAGCATCACGTCTCGCGGCTGTGTGTCTCAAGGATGATACTACTTGCCTTCAAGTGATATCGAGTCAAATCAATACAGATGATCTCCGCCATCTTGCATGGCATAGCTCTACTGGTTGCTGACGTTCTGTGACTGATCCCATCGGCCTACATTGTTGGCACTTACACGGCGAGGATGGGACATGGCGACCAAATTGTCGTAACGAGGACCAATGACTCCTGTTGAGTTCTACTGCTGTGATAGACCTATTATTACGGACGGTAGAAGTACTCCTGGCTTTCGACAATGGATGGAGCAATAGAACACGGTCCGAGTTGAACTCCCAGTAAGACTAGCCTATAATTTATTGTATATCCAATCAGGTGCTCATGAAAATACGCTTGCATCTAGTGACACCCACTCAAAAACAACATAACCGGTCGAAGTCGTATTACAAGTCTGATAATAGTATCCTCAAATTTCTAGTGGATTTTGACGCCTATCTCTATGGGCATTGGTGTCTCCTGCAAACCTCTAGCTTTACCTGAAAGCCTGTGAATATAACGCTTCGAGTGTCGTTGCTGTAGCAGACAGATCTACACGTAAAGCTTAATGTGTTTTCATTGACTATCTACTACGTCCTTCTTGAACCTTTAATTGTCACAAACCATGTCTGGGATGTTGCGTTGCACCCAGTCAACCGGGTCATGAGGGGGACTATTCTCAACACCTGTCAGTGGTGTCCCCTACGAACCTCCAGCTCTGACTGTAGAGTCTGCAGAGCCGAGATTGAGTAACAAAGTCCTCACTTCGACGAGGATTCCCAATCGCTTGCGCGGTCTGTATCGTCTTCATCTCTCAACACATTCCCCTATCACCACTATCATGAAGCTAACCACGATCAGATCAGATGGCAGGGTCGGAGCCCTACTCATCACCAACCCTTGATCATGGAGGAAAAGCCATCCGATGAGTTTCCGGAGCGTACCCAGCACCCGATACGGAGATGGCGGATTGGATCAAGTCGACCTCGACTGTTACAAAGAAGGGAGACATAGATGAATATGCGCACCTCATGCAGTCCCGGTGCCTAGGCCTCGCCTGACTGGGACTGCAGGTTTTTTGAGAATTTTTCCCGTGCATGCAGTTTCCATTGCTGCCTTTTTTTTTTTTTTTTTTTTTTTTTTTTTGGGTAGAAGATTCCGTGGAAAAGGTGGCCGAATTTCACGGGTAAATACTGAGCTGAATGGCTATTCATCAAGGGAAATATATTAATGATCTTTCAAGTAACAAAAGAGGATAGGAGCACCTCACAAGGTGTGGCCTGGGTCAGAGAGGAGCCCGATGTGCTAGATAGTCATGGGCTCGAGTAGTGCGATAAACAAAACCACACACACAGCCACAATTTTTTGAAATTCGAATTTTCGAATATTCACCCTTTCCCCCTCTCTCGATATTGTGATATCGTACGCCCTTAATTCAAAATTTGTGAGCGACTGGCAGACTACCAATATGCCCCCAGTTCGCAGTAAGCCATCGCGGGCGAAAGACATCGTAGATAACCGTAAGCACCTCAAACACGTTGCTCGACAGAAAGCAAGCGTCAAGTTGGGCCCACTCACTGCCGTTCAAGAGATGAACATCGACCAATTAATCGACGAAAGTACCATAGATTGCGATATGATAGATGTTGGCAACTTTGACATTGACAAGATTCTTAAGAATCTGAAAAGACTACCTAACTCAATTCACTCCAAGCCAGATGTGACCGGAGTTGAAAATGCAGCGACGAGTCGCAACAATTTAGGGACAGCGACTACCGAACAGCACATACTTCCTCTCATTGAAGTCGCTGTGCCGGCTATGAGGCGGGCTGCGATTGCAGATGCTAACAGGGCAAAAGGTGCAGCATCTACCCCGAACCCCCTGGAACATACACCAGGAACCACAGAAGAGAATACTTCTCCCCACGGTGGAAATGAAGGCAGGCAGACGGAGGAATGCCCCCCCGAACTCAGAGCCTTAATTGAGGCTGAGGAACGCCGGGCCGCAAAAACTGCGGAAAATGTAAAAATTTGCACCGCTGCAATAAACGGTGTCGAGAATGCTCTGTCCCCCCTATCCAAAGGGTCGAGTGTTCAATTTATGGACTCTATGAAAATCTACATTAGAGCTGCAATAGCTCAATTCATGATCGCGGGACCAGGTACAGTCCTCCCATCACTTCCCCCACGCCCCGAAAACCAGGCTACTAGTTGCAAGACCGTAAAATATGCTGCTGGTAAGCAAAGTGAGCCACAACGCGAAGCGGCTCAAGCCGAAGTGCGCCAGGCCAAAACCACTTGGGCCTCGATCACCCGTAATGGTCTACAAACGCTCCCGGCACCTACAAAAGTCGCGCAGACAATGCCCAAGGCGGCAAACTCGACTCGAATGGCCCAAAATTCAACCGGGCCAACAAAACCGGCCGTGCAAGACGAAAGTTTGTTTCTCCGCCTCGAAAAAGAACATCACTGGCGAACACTCTCACCTTTCGGTGTTAGAGAAGCAATTACGCAAATGCTCGAAATCCCCCAAATAAAAATTGAGCATGTCTACCGTGTGCCAACTGCCTTCGCAATCAGAGCCGAAAACCAAGAGGCACGCGCGCTGATGCTTAGCCTAGCTGGATCCTTCGCCCAGCAGGATGCGATATTGGGGAAAGCCTCGGACTTCGCTTCACTTAGAATCGCAACAGTCCCAGTTGCCATAAATACAATAATGGGCAGAGTTATCGTCACAGAAGAGATGGTGACAGACGAGATAGTCAGGGTCACCAAGGCTGTTCCGGTAAAAGTTCGCCCACATGGGAAATGCCAACCGGGCGCCCCATACCAGTCATGGGTAGCCCTTTTTGAAAAAGCATCGATTCCTCGGCCAGGTTTCCGACTTTTCGACGACTCTGGGATTGCGGTCCGCCACCAGCCTCGTCAAAGCATCAACCAGTGCAAACGATGCCTACAGTTTCATGGCACCAGGGGCTGCTCGCGCGCCCCAGCCTGCTGGAATTGTACTTCAACCATGCATTCCATCGCGGAGTGCAAGGCACACACCAAGTGCCGCAACTGCGGAGGTCCACACAGGTCAGATAGTCGGGACTGTCTAGCTCGTCCAACAAAGTCTGCAATGGCCTCCAAGGAAAACCTTCAGACCATAAGGCAGGCTAGCCAACGCGAATTCGCAGCAGTCACTAGGGCCAAAGCAGCAGTCAGACGCGCAGAGGCTGCTATGACAGCAGCCGCAGAAGCGTCAAATACAAACCAGCCAGGCTTCAAATCGAGCAACTGTTTTGAAGTTCTCATGTCCGACGCTACAGCGACTGTAGCTGAGGTCGATGAGGCATCAAATCAGCAAAAATCTTTGTGAAGGGCACCCCACGGGTCCCTTCGAGCCTCTCTCCGACTCTAAGCTTTATGTCAATAAACGTAGGTAGAGGGGGCTTAACGCAAAACATTACGCTTGCCCGATGTTGTGCCTGGACCCACATAGCTACAGTGCACAGCTTCAGTTATGATGGTCACGCGACTGCATGCATTTGCTCTGTTTGCTCCTGCTTCGTTGAGTTAGTATAATTAGTAAGCAACAGTCTAGGGACTATAAGTAGAGAGCTTTCCTCCACAGTAGATAGAGCAAGCAATTCAGTCTTTCCTCATTCTACAGAGATCATTCTCCACTCCTCTTCTTGACCTGTCCGGCCCAGCAGCACATCTGTGATCACTAGCAGCGAACTCCTACAAATTGTATGTACACCCGAATCATAGACCTATCATAACACCCGAGACTTTGAGCTGGGTATCGACGTGGTTCTTGTTCAAGAACCTCTGTGGAATAAACAAAAGAATACGACAAAGGATCACACAGGATATACCTATCATCTGCCTAACGGCGGCGAAAATGTTAGGCCGAGGGCTGTGACCTATACCCGGATAGACGATAAAAAGATATCGGCAACACAGATCTTTCCCTATGTTGTGTCTATAGGAGACTATTTCTGGGTTGAAGTGAACAGTATCACTTTTCTCAACGTCTACAAGGCAACCAATGACTCGACAGCTATCCAGCCTCTCATCAACTGGACTCCACTAAACTCCGTCGCTGCTGGAGATTTTAACTCGGTATATTGGGCTTAGCAACCTGGCGTGGAACGTCCTCATGGACAAGGAGAAATGATCGAAAAATGGGCAGACAAACACCATTTGACCTGTCATATCATTGGGGAGCCCACTCACCGAGCTGGAAACACGCTAGATCTAGTTTGGAGTAATGTCGACGGCGCCCGTGCTTGGGTAGATCGTGGTGGATGTGTCACCAGCGATCACTTTCCTATACGAGGACGAATTCCAGTTCGCAACTCAGTGATGATGTGACGGCTGTCAAGCCTAAGGGTTCCTGTAGCCTACGCTGTCTTGTGCAGGCAATTATATGAAGGGAGCTTCCTGGGAAGATCTTGGATGACAGGGAACCTAGATGATTCACATTGAGCCTTGTTGAAACCTACTGAGAGTTCATGAGGGTTACAGAAGTATCAAGGATCCACAGGTGATTGTCGGAAAGTCTGAGTTGACAGGTCATAGAGAGAACCTTATCGAGGAGAGGTATTTCAGTCTGTATATATAGGTAGTCATTAAGTACAGAAATTCTCTCTTC